TAATGTCAGGGTGAGCAAGGAATGTATTTGATATTTGTTCCGGTGTGAATCTTAAAACAGTATCATAATTTGACTAGAAAATTTTATCACAGGTAGAATCCACAGACTGCCTGCAAGGGGGCCAAACTCATAGCTTTTAAGGCGCATATTTTGATTGGTATCAGTTTGGAACTTCTTACTAATAACTGTACTGGTATGTTCTCATATATCGTACATACGAGAGTAAAAAGTAGCATTTACATATGCAAATTGTATTAAAATTGGAATGCAATCCAAGGTGCTCCAATTTTGCATTTCACTCTCTTTCTCTATTTTAATCTCAAAAGGATCGACAGTACCCGATTATTAAAAGTATCGATACTGAGTATTCCAAAGCTGCATTCAATCGACGTTATTTGGGACCTGCCAGCTAGTGAGATTTCTACACTAAGCATTGAAATGTTACCAACATATGTATATTTAAAGAAAGTACTCGATACTTCCAACACTATAGATTTAAGTACACATAGATTTAAATTTCCATATACATAGGAAACTAAGTAAAAAATGAAATAAAATTATAAGATAGTAAAAAATAAGTAAGTTTTTAAGAATTTAATGAAATATATAAAAAATTATAATTTTATTTTAAAAATAAAATAAGTTCCTAAAAATTAAATGATATTAAAAATATAAATATTTTTAAAACATTTGACAAACTAAGAGACTCTTGAATTGGAAACAAGTTAAATAAAATAAGCTTCGAAAAGTTAAAAGAAATTAAAAACATAAACATACTTACATACAAATTTACAAAAATAAAAAAAAATACCGCTGGCCGATCGGATCTCACGATTGGCACGCTACACACTGCAGCCGAATTCCAAAAGTGCGGCCAAAATTTGAGTTTGCTAAACGGATCACCTAAGAAGCGAAAACTGTTCACTGTAACGGCCTGCAACCTAAGTCCTCTCTTTATATTCATTTGTAGTGTGGCCTTCTCCCAAGCACTACATTATTGTAATAAAAAGCGAAAAGTTATTAACGTATAAAAGTAGTTAGAGAATAGGAAATCAAACAAAACCAACAGGAGTTTTTATGAAATATAAATGTCAATGTATTTTTTACGTCTATTTTTAAACATAATTTGATTTGTTAAACCTATTGGAGTTTACGTAGAAAAGTATTAGCTGTAGAATAAAACAAAACTAAGGTGCTCATTTCTGCTCCTAATATTTTTTTTGTTTTTTTTTTAACACGCTTATATGTACATATTAGCTTCAGCTGTATGTAAACATTTCGAGCTTTTTAATTACCTACTAAGAATAAACAAAATATTTTCAACTATCTTGCAATTACACTGGTTTACAACAAAAATGGTCAATGGATGCCACTATCCAATTTTTATAAATAATTGCTCGCTGATTAATTTTTAATTCTATGGACAAGTTTTCAAGATATTTTCAATTTACCGTTATTCAGCTTAAAACAAAAAGTGGTTACACTTAATCACGGGTATCTTACGAACCAATTCATCAATTTAATAATATGAAATACGACAAATGAAAGCCAACAAAATTCTACATAGACCGTATGCACATCACTTTTCGATAGGACTGATAGTTTCTGACAAATGAATTAATCATTAAGAATTTTTTTTTTTTTATAAAAATATGAAAAAAACACTTTAACAAAAGAAAAATTAAAGGTTCTGTGTCAAATTTTTGCCTTTGTGCTAAAGCCTGTTGTGTTACAAAAAAATCAAGTTACTAATGTAGAAAATCGATGGATAAATAAAGAAGCAATGAGTGGTGGAATGAAAATACGCAAAGATTTTTTGTATGAAATATAATAATATTGTTAGGTGCATGATAAAAAACATTAGAAGGTAAAACCATTCTCTCAATTCGTCGGCCATGATTTTTTCTGACGTTTGCAAACATTTAATATAAAATTGAAAACAAAACAATTGTTGTTGTTTGAGACTAAAAATGAGAATGTCTGTGTGTCTGTGTGGTAAACTTCAAACTGCCTCTCAATGATTTTACCTTGTAATGTTTTGATCATGGTTAGGTGTACATGGCGTATGAGTAACATTATTTCCTGCTCATTTCTCATACAAAAAATCTTTGCGCATTTTCATTTTACCACTCATTACTTCTTTATTTATCCATGGTATTGCTTCGTTAGTAACTTGATTTGTTTGTAACAGAACAGGCTTTAGCACTAAGGCAAAAATTTCACACAGAACCAGTGAGTTTTTAATTTTTCTCCTATTAAAATTTTACTTTTTTTGTTTTTTCATCAAAAAGAAAACTGGAATGATTAATTGAATTGTCGGAACCTTATTAGTCCAATCGGAAAGTGACGTATAGATGGTTTATAGAAAATTTTGTTTGCTTTCATCTGTTGTATTCCATTTTCAGTTTGTTAAATTGGTTCATGAGATATAAGTGGACCACTCTAATACACATACATATGTACATAAATACTTAAAAGTTAACGAAATGAATTTCTGTGTCATCGCTGGTAAAAATAGTTCAACCAAATATGTTGCGTGGCATTAACCAATTCATTTGTTCGCTTATACAAATACAGGATGGGCCAAATAAGACCTACCAATTTTACGCGGCAGGTCCATAGTTTGCCTAGCAGTGTGCGTAGTCGCTGCATCTTGTTGGAACCAAAAATTAGGATGCTGGTCGCAAAAAGTTGTCAATCATTGTTTTGTAAGAAATCCCAGAAGTCGTTTCTGGCGTTTCCTCCTCATCATTCATCGAAGAAATATGGGCCGATAACTTTTTCGGCCATAACACCGCACCAAGCAGTGCATCTGAATGGGTGTTACTTGTGCTGGTGAGTTGCCCTTGGATTTTCAGAGCCCCACAATCTACAGTTTTGCTTGTAATGGCGCTTTATCCGACAACAAAACATCACATAAAAAATCAATTTGTATGGCTACTTGTGTAAAACGAATAGCGTATTTTAGTCATTGTTGGTGGTCTTGCTGCAAGTATACTAGTATAACATGCAGCAAGAAAATAACAATAATATTAAAAAATAAAGAAGTTTTATGTGTTGAAAATTGGTAGGTCTTATTTGGCCCACCCTGTACAATCATAAAAATACATGCAATGTGTATATACTCAATTAAAAGAAAATCGAAAAACGACAAGATGAAGAAAAGCTAGGAATTTGTGGTTTGTATTTACATCTGAACATACATATGTACGTATGTAGGCATGTGCATACATATGTAAATGCTGGGATATATGTATGTACATATGCACGTACCTACATACATAATTGTAAATATGTATGTTTATAAACAACTTGATAGCAATCCTTAAGTACTACATACATATGTATGTATGTACAAAGTATTTCAATCGCCGAAATGATCAGGGTCAGCAAGCAAAAAATTAGATGTACTTTAATGTAAGCATAGATACATTAATGCGTACAGTGGAATTCTCTGAACGACTACTTGTTTGACAGCGAGCCGTCGGACTTGGACCCGAGGAAAAATTGGCATTCACATTCATACTTACATACATATATAAATAAATAAAAATATATGTACATATATACTAGCATAATAAGATACAAAGAATGTCGCATCACATCGAATATCAAGAAGAAAATGTCCGATGATATTCAACACTGTGGATCCGCAACGACTAATCATTATTACTGTTGTATGTAGTTCCTGTGCGTATTTAAGTAAAAATAGCAACGACCATTGAAGAACAAAAATACAACAACATAGAAAGAAGTGACGAGCTATGTACATTAGGGTGGTCCAAAAAAATATTTGCGGAAGTACAAAATGTTCTTATCTCACCCCCTAGAATTTTTTTAAATGTAAAAAATACCATTCTTTTGGTAAAAAAAATTACATTTAGAGCTGCCTCAAACCCCATAAAGTTTTGCATATATTTTATAGCGGGATAAAACGCTTTGTAAAAATGGTAGATTTCATTTTCTATCGTAAAACTTTGTTTCTCTTTAGGGGACTTCCTATAACAATACCCAATTGTTTATTTAACCATTTTTTTATTATTAGCTATGTATTTGTTATAGGTTCCCAAAAGCCACAAAAATGCAATGGGGGGAGCCATACAAAATCGTTAGTATTAAAAAATGGTAAAATAAACCATTGGGTATCGTTACTGGAAGTCTCCTGAAGAGAAACAGGGTTTTCCGATCGAAAAATATCAATTTTTAAGAATTCTATATCTACCATTTCTACGAAAAATCGTTTAATCTCCATATAAAGTATATGTACAACTTCATGGGCTTCGAGGCAGTTCCAAATATAATTACAAGAAAAAAAATACAGGTATTTCTTATACCATTTAGAAAAATCCTAAGTGGTGAAAGCTTGCCATTTTAAACTTTTTTTGGACAACCATCATGTACATACATACATAAATGTGAGAGAGGTACTGATGAAAATGTTTTATTTTTTTATACATAAATATATACATTTTTTATTGTTGCTGTGGCAGTCACTTCGCCAAGTATGCATGTCACCTGTATGCTTCGATGCCAGTTACCAGCCGAAAAACAGCAGCACCAGCACCACCTCAGAGTGAGTGTATTTGTATTTGTATGCGTTGGAAAATTTGCGCCGTCAATGGCGCTGTTGGCCGCTGAATGTGATAGGAAAATGTAATAGGAAAATGTGAAAAGTAACAACAGCTAAACAAGAACAACCTTTCGGAACTTTTTAAAAATTCTAAATGGCTTCATTCAATGCGGCATACATTCATATTTGTACACATATGTGCATACGTACATACATATATTTATACAGGTAAAGTAGTGCATGTGTGTAGAGTGACACCGTCCCACGAGCCGACCACCAACCGATCGCCAAGCATTTTTGCAATCGGTCGCCGCCACACAAATACCCTGACACCTCAACATTTCGAAACTTCGTGCATGCGTTCGGTTTTCTGTGCAAGTTCGGGAAAATTTCGAAAAATATTTTGACTGCCCAATCGACAAGAAAGTACCTAACACGCGTGCTGTAGACGAGAAACGTTCAGTCGAGACAGAGCTCATCCACGGGTTAGTTGATTTATTCTCATCCAACAGACAAAATGGTGAGTGGCTGATTTGAGTGTAAAAAGGAATACACAATTTTCTACATAACCTCAATAACTTAAATATTGTATAAAGAAAAAATGCAAAAATTTAAAGTAACTTTCTTTACTGTCTTTTCTAATTTTAGGCCGATGTACCAAAACGTGATCTTGAAAGTAAGTTTAAAAGCAGTAAAGCAATTATTTCTAAAAAAAAGACGATAACAGTGAAAAATGCTAAAATGTTGGAAAATTATTATACAAGCATTTGCAAGTTGGATTTAAAATTCCTTGAAGAAAAAAAAATAGCCAAACTAAAATCATAAATATTTAAAAACTGTGTAAACGTTTTTTTATGTTTTATGTTACATTAAGACGTGCTAAATATTAAAAAAAGTGTTCGCATCTAACCAAAAGAAGCCTACAAGCCGGAAGCTTACATAATATTGCAAAGTGATAGCGGTATTTCACTACAATTTAAAATTTTGGAATACCAGTGAATTCTTTGGCGGAGCTCGATCTTTTTATGGGTAAACTTGAACACACACACACACACACATACACCAGCACATAGCGACACAAATCACCTAACCGCCCACGCTTCCATATTTTATCTACAACTGCATATTTTTGTTGGTTAAGGTGCCCATAAAAAGTATTTTAAAGCAAATTCATACAATGAAATGACAACGAAACGAAACGGAAATGAAACACTATTTGTACGCTCTTGCCACTGCCTTTGACGTCGGCCACGTTTACAATTGTTTGCGTGCTATTTTTAACAAATGGCTGAATGCCGAGAAGTGTGTTTAAAAAAGTCTAAGTCGTTCAAAAACAAATTTTTTTAAAGAAGAAAAATAGGTGGATATAAAAAAAAAATCGAAAAACAAAACTGTGTCTGCATGAACGGGCAATCAACAGAACGGACATCACTAAGCAAGCCGAAAAGTGTGAACAAAAAAAAAGGAACTAAAAATAAAAATGAAGGACGAAAAATCTAGCGTACAGTAAATATGTGTGCAAATATTTGGTGCTGCTGATATGAAGTACATATGTGAATGTTCTGCTAGCTATAAATACATATATATGTACTATGTATAGAGAAGAAAAAAATCTCTGCATACAAGGCAGAGGATCGGCAAAAGAGCGAACGCATTTCTAATTTTGGGATATTTTTCTTATAGTTTTTCTTTTGTTGCCTACCTCACATACCCGACATATATGTATATATGAATATATAAAAAAATACACACACATGCCTGCGTACATATGTATGTATGTATTTAAGTTAACGAACAAAAAAATAAAAAAATAAAAAAAAAACGCAAAATATTTCATGTGTTTTCGGTTCGTCGATACGTTTGTTCGTTCGTGTGCTCGCCCGCTCATTCAGTGATGAATTCGGGTGTCAAATTTCCTATACAGACGAATCGTGTACGCAGAGTAAAATTCCCAATAACCGAGTTGAGACGTCGTCATGCCAAAAAGTATGATACATACGAGTTGAAGGCCCCTAAAATGTGGGTGTAATGCAAATATGGAATGTGTCATAAATACCTTCGACTTGTACTTGAATAATTGAGATCCGAGTTCGGTTGTAGGCATGAAGAGGTAAAGTGAACATCTTTCGATGAAAGATGTGCTAAAGCGATATGAACTGGGAACTACATATGTTTTTATGATTGATTTGCTCTGGTTATGAACCAAGGTCATCTATTCGAGTAACTTAAATTAAAGTAGCAAACATTTTGAGAACATTAGGAATGTTAGGGCACTGAATGTAATATGTTTTTTTTTTTTTTTTAATGGGCTTTTTTAATATTAAAATGAGAAACATTGACCTCTAGTCTGTCGTATAACTAAATTTGAGAGATTCCTGAATTTTTGAAAGATCAGTAAAGTTCAACGCAGCTGAAACCAAACCATGAAATCCACTATAATTTTCATACTACATACCAGAGATGCCAACTCTATTTAGGCTAATTCCCACAATGATAGTGTCTAATATTAACGTCAAGTTAAAAGTACCGCTATGCACGGTTGCAATTTCTTTAATATCCACACGGTTGCATGAGGAAATTACGTTATATTTTAAATCCATAACACCGTAATAAGATATTGGGCCTCATGCATAAGAAGTGAGCTCAAGCTCAGCCTAAACTTTTGCACCGATGGAGTGAGCTTAAGCTCAAAATTTTGTATGGAAAGTTAGTCGGAGCTTAGGTATTAGACACGCTGTTTTTACAAGTTGAAATTTTATTCTAAATTAATAGGAATCTTCCCCCAAAATCTAAAGCCGTTCCCCGATTCCCCCGAGAAATTAAATTCCACCCTAATCGGGGAATTCCCTCCCGGTTGACAGCATTGCTACATATACTATACTATTACTTGACTCGAAATCGAAATTTCAGAGCGAAATTCCCTTTGAGTGGTGCAACAAGCCATTGCATATTTTTGTGTTTTTTTCTAGGTCATTTATTTTTATAACGCTCAAAGATCAATACTGCCTCATCTGAATGCAATGTTATTTCACGCAAAAAGTTTAAATTAAATTAAATTAAATTAAATTATATGCAAAATACAATGAAATGCTTGCAAGCGTGAATTGAAAACTGAATAAAAAATCTATATAAGTTAAAAAAATAAAAAAATAAATTATTGAAACCCAACGTTTTATAAAACTAAAGGTAAATTATAATACCAATATACAATAAAAAAAAAAAAAACAATAATTGAAACATACGAAAAAGGCAAAGTAAATTAAAACAACCAAAAAATTAATCTATTCGCGCATTGCTTTTGCTACATGCAGACAGAAGTTTTACAAAATTTTAAACTTATGTACATAAAAAATATATTTAAATATATCCAAATCAATGCACGTACATATTTAATTCCTTTTCATCTCCCATTCCAGATATCGAATTCGTTTTCGAAATCATGGGCTCTGCCGGTGTGGGCATTGATGCCGTTGATCTAGGTGATGCCCTCCGCGCCCTCAACTTGAACCCAACCTTGGCGTTGATCGAAAAAATGGGCGGCACCAAGAAGCGCAATGAGAAGAAAATCACCTTCGAAGAATTCATCCCAATCTACGCACAAGTGAAGAAGGAGAAGGATCAGGGCTGCTACGAAGATTTCATTGAATGTTTGAAATTGTACGACAAAGCCGAGGATGGCACAATGCTGTTGGCTGAATTGCAACACGCCCTGCTGTCACTTGGTGAGTTTGGCAGAATAATATGAAAAGTCAATGGAAATTAGGAGCAAAGCGGNACGGTAAATTTCGGATATGCTTGAAATTTCAATATTTCGAAATTTAAGGACGCTAATTTACTTAAAATGTATACACCCCGGCTTATCATGTAGCGGTAGCTTTCGGAAAGGGCGAAAACATATATTTAATACTTGCGCCGGGTATTTAATGTTCGGCTCCGCCCGAACTTAGACTTTCTTACTTGTTTAATATTAAAATGAGAAACATTGACCTCTAGTCTCTCGTATAACTAAATTTGCAAGATTCCCGAATTTTTGAAAGAGCAATAAAGTTCAAAGCGGCTGAAACCAAACCATGATATCCAATATAATTTTCATACTACATACCAGAGATGCCAACTATATTTAGGCTAATTCCCCCAATGATAGTGTCTAATATTAACGTCAAGCTAAAAGTACCGGTATGCACGGTTGCAATTTCTTGAATATCCACACGGTTACATGAGGAAATTACGTTATGTTTTAAATCTGTAACACCGTAACAAGATATTGGGCCTCATGCATAAGAAGTGAGCTCAAGCTCAGCCTAAACTTTTGCACCGATGGAGTGAGCTTTTAATTAAGCTCAAGAATTTGTACTGAAAAGTGAGTTGGATCTTAAGCATTAGGCTCGCTAAATAAATAGGAATTCTTACCCCAAAATCTAAAGCCATTCCCCGATTCCCCCAAGAAATTAAAATTCCACCATAATCGGGAAACTCCCCCCGGTTGACCTCACTGCTACATATACTATACTATTACTTGACACGAAATCGAAATTTCAGAGCGAAATTCCCTTTGAGTGGTGCAACAAGCCATTGCATATTTTTGTGTTTTTTTCTAGGTCATTTATTTTTATAAAGCTCAAAGATCAATACTGTCTCATCTGAATGCAATGTTATTTCACGCAAAAAGTTTAAAGAGAGCAAGCCAAGTGGAAGTTTGACGGCGCATGGTCAGATAGAGAGAAATTATATGCAAAATACAATGAAATGCTTAAGCGTGAATTGAAAACTGAATAAAAAATCTATGTAAGTTAAAAAAATAAAAAATAAATTCTTGAAACCCAACGTTTTATGAAACTAAAAGTAAATTATAATACCAATAAACAATAAAAAAAAAAAATAATAATTGAAACATACGAAAAAAAAGCAAGGTAAATTAAAACAACCAAAAAATTAATCTTTTCGCGCATCGCTTTTGCTACATGCAGAAAGAAGTTTTACAAAATTTTAAACTTATGTACATAAAAAATATATTTACATATATTTAAATCAATGCACGCGCATATTTAATTCCCTTTCATCTCCCATTCCAGATATCGAATTCGTTTTCGAAATCATGGGCTCTGCCGGTGTGGGCATTGATGCCGTTGATCTAGGTGATGCCCTCCGCGCCCTCAACTTGAACCCAACCTTGGCGTTGATCGAAAAAATGGGCGGCACCAAGAAGCGCAATGAGAAGAAAATCACCTTCGAAGAATTCATCCCCATCTACGCACAAGTGAAGAAGGAGAAGGATCAGGGCTGCTACGAAGATTTCATTGAATGTTTGAAATTGTACGACAAAGCCGAGGATGGCACAATGCTGTTGGCTGAATTGCAACACGCCCTGCTGTCACTTGGTGAGTTTGGCAGAATAATATGAAAAGTCAATGGAAATTAGGAGCAAAGCGGTGTAAAATATATTTTTTAACTCTTCAAAAATGTGGGGAAAAATAACAAAAATTGGGTGTAACTTAGACCAGGGCGGTCGCCAAAAGTTAAAAGATAGCATTAGCTTTTGGGTAAATCTCAAGAATTTTTATATACACGTAGAAAAATTTCCTGTTTGGGAACTATTTAAAGAAAGTTTAGTATTTTTTCAAAGGCGCTTAATAAGTAATTAAGTAAGGAGATGAGAATTTTTTTTAATTATTTACCGAAGAAAACTTTTAGCGCAAAAAATAGGCAATATGAAATATCGAGTGCTCTTGAGGCGTGCGAGATTAACGAAGACAGTTGTTAAGAGTTTTGTTGGCTTTACGATTCAACTTTTGAATTCGGCTTTTGGGCAACCACTATTTTTAAGTGAGCTATCGTTTAGGTCAGTGCTTTTGAGCTTTTTGGTATAATCTAAGCCATTTTTTTTGTCGTTTAGCTGACTACGATCATTTACCAATTTTTGTACTAACTGATTTTGTAAATTTGCAATATAGGTGAGGCATTGGATGATGAGCAAGTTGAGACTCTCTTCGCCGATTGCATGGACCCCGAAGATGATGAAGGCATGATTCCATACTCCCGTAAGTGAAAGCAAAAAAATAAAAATAAAGTACCACCAACTAATCAAGCGCATATGAAATGAAACTATTTATGTATTCACAACAATAACAAGCGCCCTCGTTGCTCATCCAAAAAATTGCCCAATAGTATTATGCATATTTTCACCTAAAACAAATTTTTTTTAACTATTTATTTATATGTACATATGTATGTATATTCGTATTTTTTCATATGTAATACATTTGTTTTTGTTTTCCATATGTATTTTCATTCTATGTCGACTTATATGTACCTACGTTTTATGTGGCAACCGAATGTTTAAATATCCAAAAATAAATCCCAACGCACTGCGGAACGATATATATGTATCACCAACCAAAACACAAAAAAAAATGCACTACTTCCAACAACACTTCACTTCCCCGTACGTATGTGTATGACGCACCACCACTTTGTTTTACAACCACACACACACCCACACACAAAAACGCCACCCAAAATGGCCCAAAATTTCTACGCACAAACTTGCACAAATTATGCCTGCGTGAATTATGAAAATGTATGAACACCAAAACCATTTCCATTTGTAATAATGTGTGTGCGCCGTGCAGAGTTCATCCAGAGAATGATGAGCGATCCAGTTGTCTTCGACTAAACGGTAAGTACTTAATTAAGTATGCAAGCATAAAGGATGGGGTTTGTAGCGGTAAATTATGTATGTAGGTCAAAGTAAGGGGTGCAAGTTTTGGAGTAATTTATTAGAAGAAAAAAAAAAACGATAGTGTGGGGGACAGCTTTACAATGGCAATTTGGAAACGACAGGCATAGCTCAGGAAAATCGAGGAGGGCCCGGAAAAACTACAAATATCACCCGAAAAATAATTAGGGGGAATCCCTTGTGAAACTCTCAAAGTCTTAAACAGTGTAAAATTCGTACGTTTACGAGGCTGTTACGGGAATGCCCCCTTTTGCAAATGTATAAATAGGTGCGTAAAGTGTCAGTTTGACAGGTTGAAAAAGGGTTTTGTGAATACATTTGTTAAGTTAGTAAGGATTTCGTGAACTTTCAGCTCGGACGGACTGTTGCTGTTTTTAGGCATCGGTCTTTTGAAATAGTCAACGTTTCTTAGACACCCATGTTAGAAAAAGTAGTACCAAGACGTATCCAGAAAAAATACCCAACGTAAGCAGGGATCGTAACAATAAAATCATAATTAAACGTTAAAATTGGATTTTTATTTTTTCGACCAAAAATATTTAAAACGGTTAAAAATTATCGAAAAAAAATTTAAAGTAAGCATTATATATTTTTTTTAAATAAACATTTTGGCATTTAATTTGCGGTCCTTTTCGAATAGTAAAACGCGATGAATGCCTCAAAAGTAAGCAAGGCTTATCGACTATTTTCTGTTCAAAGAATATACGGAAATGCTTCTCGTTTTTGGTTTGGAAAATAAAATGCAAAATTATTGGAATTTTTTGCCCAAAATAATACAACTGTTTAAAAAGTTTTATTGAGATTTTTTACTTCAATTACTACTGCAATTCTCTGCAAATTTGTAATTTATATTTAAATTGAAATAATTCACAATAACATCCATACTTTGATTTGATTTGAAAGATTTCAACAGAATTTCAAACTTTTTAATCAGAATTTTTAGAAAGCTTTCGAGTATGCAGTTTTGTAGCCCATTCAATTTAAGTAATTTTAGTATATGAATGTCTATGTATGATTATCTGTATATCGGTATATCTGTTCCCCACAATAATATTTGCTGTATTTGTTTGTCAATGTTTGCACAGTTTGTTTGTATTGATACACAATAATTATCCGGGCGGTTTGTCAAATGCAATACATAGATTATATATTTAGGTACCTATTTTAACTTAAAATATTTATTAAAATAAAAAAAAAGTATTAATTGTAAATTTTTCATTTTTTCTTTCTTTCTTTTTCCACTCAACAGCATTTCTTGCCAGAATGTGTGAAAGACCAGATATGCTATAAAATCACCATTCACTTATAGCGGCAACCATTCTCCATAGATGTTTTATTCATCTCTCTCTCGTATATTTATTTTTAATTAATTATTTAATTAATTTTTTCTTCTTATGAATACACTAATTGCATTACAAATGTAGTGCGATTACTTTTCAACGAATATCTACAAAAAGAGTAGCAAAACAAAACCTTACAAACACAAATTATGAAAAGCTTAAAGTAATTTTTAAATTATGTATATAAATCCAAATTATACCAAAAAAAAAAAACTAAAATTATAAAATAATTTTGTTGTTCATTTATTTAATTTTAATTACATAAACACCAAAGAAAATGCTATATATGTATATGACTATAATATACATTATATATGGAATATTAAAAAATAACAACAACCAGCTCGTGTAGTCAACGTTGCAAAAAGGACTTAATAAATGTTACTATAATAAACAAAGGTGCTGTTTAAGCGACTTATGCATTTCCCGCATAAACAAAGAACAGCGAACACCCACACGCATTTATATTGCATTCCCGCATAAACCAAGTGCAGCNGCATAAAATACATATTAATATCAACAACCACTTACGTGAAAATCTCAAACAGTGTCGTGTTTGCTGCCAAAGGTGCAGGAAAAATCTGAACAAAAAAAAAACAAAAAACTACAACAACGAAACAACTTAAGTCGAATTTATACAAATGTATTTATCTCTCTCTCTCTCTATCTTGCGTATAATATATTAAAATGCAAGTCATATTTACTATTTATTTGCATGCATTAATATATATTATTGTGCAAATAAATAAGGAAAACAATTTCATGGCGTATGGTTAAAAAACAGATTTTTTTCGTTGTTTTCTATTTCGCCACCTGAATGCTATGTGTTGCGCAGCGTTTGGAACAAGAAAAACCATTATTTACTAAAAAAAAACAAAAAAAAAAAAAATGAAAACACAATTAAAACAATACAATTTTTTAATTAGTTTAAAAAATTTGCTTATTTGAATTATATAACTACCCAATTTGTTACAATTTCCATATTTCTATTTAAAACGGGCCAAAAATTGCAATAGAATTATGAAAATAAGTACATCAAAATAAATACAAAGAACAAAAACAAAAACATCGAATAAAGTGTGTACAAGCAATGTGCGTATGAATACAGCTTTGTTGATAATTGTTTTTGGTATTTTTGTTTTAGTCATAGTCAGGCTACATACCGCCCATTGAACAGTTTTCAGTTCAGTTGTTCGTCTGCCGCACATATCGCTGTCAAGAATGCCCGTCACAGACAGCTACTACCAAAACGAGTTTTGCCCACCTGCGAAATATTATCATTGCTTAGCGAAATATTATCCCAGTTTCTGATGGAAGCTTCGATAGCTGAAGGTGGCAGTGCTATAATTAGTTGCGGACGAAAGAATGCGAGGTATGAGCCTCCTTGAGCCCAAATGTTCGGATGTCTCATTACGGTGCGGTGGCCTAATAAGGTCATTATGGCCTTACATACTTTTGTGATTGGAAATAAGGCCATTATGATTTTATTGCGCCTTTAGAAAATTATCTTTAAAAAATATTATGAGACGTGAGCGGGATGTGGTAGATCACTGGGGCGAGCAAACGCGGACCCGCCAAGTTATGCACACGCAAAATTATGAACAAAACAATCTTGGACAACCACACGACAGAGTGGACTTATATTTTAACTCCATACAGCTCAATTCACTCCTTCACTTGGTCGAAAAATAATCGCGAGAAGAGTTCAGCGCCAGTTTTTTTTTTGATTACGGCCGAGGGGCTTGTAATGAAATAATTAAAAAAAAAACTATAGTAATGGCATATATTTAACTTTAAGTTTCAATAACCGTTAAATCCGTAGGTTTTTAAAAAATTATACAAGACCTTTTTGTAGAGCGTCTATTTTCCTACAAAAATATGTATCGCACTTTTCAGTAGGATAATTGAAAGGTGAGAAAAAAAACTAAAGTTAACAGGTAAACCCAACGAAAATGTTTCAGTGTTTTGTTTTTGTAGCAGCTTACTTAACTCTGTTTAAATCAGTGACTTGATTACATGTTGTCTTCATTCTCATCTAACGGGAGACTCAGGAAAAAGCCAGAGGGATGTTAGATGAGCTGATGCGAGCGACCAGTTTAACCGCTACAATATCCCGAATGGAGTTGTGTCAAAGTATTGTAAGCCTCACGAAGCAAGTGGCATTGGTCTCCGATGATGGAATTAATGGGATGAGAATTGCCAAGTGTATTTTGTTGATTATCGAATAATGGCCTGTCTATAATAGGCTATCTTTGTATAGTCGGTCTGGATCAACGGTTGGTGTACTTTCATTCCCAAGACAGTCGTTGAAATACATATATATTAGGGCGGAGTAATTTTTTCGGAGCAAAATTTTCGAAGAAACGATATAGAAAATTCAAATTCTACGATTAATTCTAGACAAAAATGGGGGACAAACTACATATATACATAAAATGACGTTTGACCATTTCAATTTTCAATAGAAAAAGCAGTATATTGTGTAAATGAAAAATTTATTTCGTTCAGAAAAAATTGTAGTAGGTACATGTAATAAACTGTAATGGTTTACACTTGCCTGGTTGATTCCGTAGTGTTTTTTATTGTTGTAAACTGAATAAAAAATATAACCACATAACTAGATAACCTGATAACCAGGAAAGTGTGAACAACCGCACCGATTTTTGTTTTACAAACTGGGAGGGTCAAACGTCATTTTTGGTATATAGTTTTTTCATAATTTTTGCTTAGAACCAAACGAATTAAATTATTCGGCCCTAATATACATGCACTAGCTTTCCAAGGCAAAGGACTGTTCTTTTAATGATGTAAGCTTTATGAGATCGGTGAACATCATTAGGTGTAAAATTTTTCACTAATTTTTTTCTGTTTTACTTTTAATCAAAAACTTCGGACTTATTTTGTTTTTTTTTTTTTGGTTTCTTTATTAAAGTTTTACTTAGTCTTGGCGGTCATATTTAAATTTCTGTCATAATGTAGAGAAAATTTATGTAAAATAAAACCGGTTTAACCCGGTTTTTTCATTTAAAAATGGGCAATCGGGCTTTTTCAAATAACTCTAAAACCGGTATTCGAAAAGAGGTGAATATAGCACGTAAACTCCTACCTCCCCCAACCCCGGGGGCTGCTGTAGCTGAGTGGTTAGAGGTGCATACTATCACTTCGTAGGGCCTGGGTTCGATCCCTGTTCCGGGCATTATATAAATTAGAAAAAGTTTTTTCTAACAGCTATCGACACTCGGCAGGCAATGACAAATATCCGAGTGTATTTTTGCCATAAGAAACCTTCTATTAAAATCCATTTGCATTTCCAAGGCGTTGTAAAACCGTAGGACCCTTCATTTTGTGTAACACCATCAAGACGCACACCACAAATTGTAGGAGAAGCTCGGCCAAACAGTTAACAAAAGTGTAAGCGCCAAAATGTTATCAATATTATTACATATTTACTAGCTTATGCCCGCAGCTCCGCCCGCCCTGTAGTTCAGTTCAACGTTCTGATTTAAAATGTAACAAAATAGAGAGAAAATTGCTTACGCAATCGATATTCCAAGATTTGATCGGTGTGTTGAATTTCAACTAAATTGTCAATTTCAGTATAAGAAAATCACTAGCATTTCATTGTTAGTATTTATACAATGTATATTAACTTTTCAAATTATTTTAATAGGTGAAAGTGTTGAGAAACTGATTAACTTTAACTAAAGTTTTGAACAGGTGGCAACCTCTTTTAAAAAAAGAAAAACATATTTTGGAAACAAATAATTTTAAAAAATTTTTGGTATGACTTGGCATCATTTTACAATGTTTCATTTAACTCGTTGAGAGACGGGAGAGACCCTAAAACCCACCTCGTGAAATTTGCTCATATGTGAAATCAGATCATAACAATTTGTGTGCCAAATTTTATCCACAGCAATAGCAACAAACGTACTCACACATTCGCATACAAACTTTTACATTTATAAGTAGGATTTGATTTACAATTAGTATCCAAGCTGGTGGCAATTCTGGTCGAAAGTATTTTCAAAATATATTTACATAGTTACTTGAAACTTCGCTCGTTCGATACCCATATTAAAAATTTTATAATAAATTTATTATAAATTTATAAACAGGTGGCAGGCAGCCCCTTAAAAAAGATTTTTAAAATAAAGCTTTCGTTAACATCTCTTGCTTGGTATATATACCATAATATTTCATTTAGCTTGTTAATAGAACTGACTCTAACTTTTTGAATAGGTGGCAACCCTCTTAAATAATCCCTTCGAGATAAATCGCTTTCGAACCATTTTTGGTTTGACACTCAAATTGTTGTGATAAATATTTATTTAACTTTTTAATTCAGTGATTTTAACTTTAGAGAAAGGTGGCAACCATCTAAAAATATCTTCAAAATAAATCGTTTTTGAACTGCTTTCGATTGGTACACGCATTGTTGTATTATTTATTTTTACTTAAGAATTAATTGATTTTATCTACTGAAAAATATGGCAACTCGCCATCCTACATATATGTTAATGCAGGTTATAATAGCAACAAGCATACTTACATAACCACTCACAAACTTTGACATTTGTAATATCTGTAGGATAACTATATGCAACGGTAAATTAAAAATTACAATAATTCATTAATTAATGAAGCGAATGGGGTTTTTTTTAACGAAAGAAAAAAGATTTAATGCATTTTACCCCGGTTTCGAGTTCTATTGAAGTTAATTTTGAGAGTGTGATTAGCGTTTATAATCGCCATATGAATCTAATCAAGCTCTACGTAGTACGCGTATTCCGAAGATTTATGTGAATTTCACCACAGATGTCGCAGTCACTGTATGCCACCCACTCTGTGCACCCACTATTCCAACAGCGTTGCTGCCGTAACATTACCGACGACTTTTGTACTAAAAGCTCACTGTAAAAGCGCCAATTGGCTTATTCTCTCACTTCAATGCAATTTTGGTGGATGCCTCTCTGCGGCTTTGGGCTTGCTGTGCGACCTTTGTATACGCATTCGGACGTTAATTAAAAATTCTTCTTTGCAGCGCGCAATCAGTTCGAGACGAGATAACATTGTAACAGACCAAATAGATTCATCCTCGGTGTAACAACTGCTCGCGGTGCGATTCAAAGCTAAGGTGTGACAAATTTTTTTCTCTTATTGTGTTTGCACATATTAAATGAATTTTTTGCTATTCATATGCAAATAAATATTGTGCTTTGTGTAAATTTTGAATTAAAAATTTTATTACTAATGAAAGCGCATTGCGCAGTGCGAAACAACGTGTGAAGAAAAATTTTGAAATACACACAAGCAAATGTGTTTGTGAGGAAATTAAGTCGATTTGTAGCTATTAATTTGGAAGTGAAAAGCGACTATTGCCGAACGACGACAGCAGT